AAAAACTATATATATATATATATATATATACATACATACCTTATTTTCAGGAGTTTGAAACCGTCCTCTCACAATAACAGATGTTCCAGGCCTTCTTTTACTTGAGGCAGGTAAATTTTTATCACTTAAACAAGTTTTACTTCTAACAAACTTTGGAGTTTCGGATGAAATTGACGACTGTTCTTTGGATCTTTTTGTCTGTGATACAGTTGAATAGGCTGGTCTATCCGTGCTAATTATCACAAGATTTTTCTCAATGTTGTTAGATGATGCATTCTGAATATCTTTAGTACTTGATTTGTCGCCGATTTGCTTATTTATTTGACAATCAACCTGATTTATCTTTTCTGAAGTATTCTGAAGAATGGCTGTCTTTGTACTCAACTTTTCAGCATTAATGTTGTTTTCACACTTTCTGTTACTATCTTTTATAACTTTGGTATTAATTTCATTCTTTCCATTATTTTTATTATATGACAATTTGCTATCCACATTTTTTCCATCTGTCTTACTATCTTTAACGTTCACTCCATTATATTCCTTTTGCATAAGTTCACAATTAGGACATGAACTTAGCTGAACATTTTTATCAATTCTACACGTTTGTTCTCGTTTTTCTACAGATAAATTAGAATCAACTAATTTTACAATGTTGCTATGCACACAGTCCTTTGTTTGTTTAGAAATATTTTTAACGTCCATTTTATTCTTCGAATCATATGTTACACTATCATTTAACCTACGATCCACAAAACTATTATTAGTTTTCGATTGTACTGTTTGTTTCACAAGAACTTTGTTAGATGTTTTCGTTGACATGGATTTTTCCTTATTTGCTATTTGGTTTCCTGTCTTGTCTGCTCCATTCTTACGTTTCTCTTTAATATCGGAAGAACAATTCTTGCAAACATTATTTTTACTATCTTTTAACAATTTATGGACAAATTCCTCTTTAGCATGATTAACTTTGTTGTCCGTTACAATCGGTTTATTTTCACATATAATTTGATCGACTGGACTTTTGCAAATCGATTCTGTCGGACTCGATCTCTGCAAGGGACTAGTGGACTTTGGAATTATCATTGAATTCCACATCCGACAAGGAGATGTTTTCCTAACTTCCCAGGCCAATGGAGTTCGTCGTAACGGTGGTGCTGAATTTTCATAAGCCCACTTAACTTTGAACCATTCTATTAAATTATGAAAGTCTCGGGTATAGTTTTCAAGCACTAAAATAACTTCTTTGCACTCGGAAATATTTTCATCCTCTTCGCACGTTTGATAGATACCATCGACCGCTCTTTGTAAATTCCCAAATAGAAACGCCCAATATCGTGCCTGTAATTCTAAATAAACAATATACACTAATTAAAAATTGAATAAACTACATAAATTACAAAGATGTTTAACAATTAACAACAATGTTTTAAATACGTATATATTCATTCTGAATTTATACATATACACACACACACACATACACACACATACACACACACACACACACACACACACACACACACACATATATATATATATATATATATATATTAAAAAACAAGAAAATTGTCTTACCAGACTTTTTGTCACGACCTGTAGAAGCGGACCTTACTCTCGTGGTTGGTTTCATGGATCGCTTTGTCGAACTAGATTGTGTTTGCCTTGGTACACTGGGTGGTTTCTTCGTAATTTTCTCTACGTTATTCGTGCCAACGGGTACATTAAAGGCTACCAAGTTCCTAGCTGCACGACCTTCTTCTTGGATGAGTAACCTAACGTCTGCCATTTTTCGTAAATTCCTGAAATAAAGATTGGTGATATGTGAAGTAGGCAGATCTTTAACATTAAGATAAAATATATATCATATTATATTTGACTAATTAACTCCCTCTCTCCTTTAATTTTTATCAATTGTCATTTTTACACAAAAATCAAATAATTCAATTTTCTTCATGTTATAAATTTAGATTATTCTTATTAAGATAAATTTAGTATTCATTCTTTTTTTATACTTTATATTAGTGATGTCACTTTGATTCCTTGAAATTAATAGTGCTTTTTAATCAACATATATTAAATAGGTCTCATAGATCCTTAGTAATTGTAGATCTGTTTTTTATTCCTATGACAGACTACATTAGATTACTGTCTTCCTTTTATGAAGCATCAAATATATATCTATCTCACTTTAGGTTCCAAAAGTATATTAGTTCAGCCACAAAAAACATAGATCTTATGTTATAAATTACGGCATCAGCTCCAGAGGATTAAAATTGACAAACATGTGGCTATTTATCAAATGTAGTTTGATAAAGTCATGATGGAAGAAACCTTGACTTTAAATCATAACTTTAACTATGACTTTAATTATGATTTTAAGGCCCGGTTGCACCAACATTATTTTAATTTTAAGCGAGGTTTAAATCCTCTTTATCCCTGTTTATCTCTTTTCGGTTTTGAAATGAGATAGAGAGAGTTTTAAGTTTCCTTAAATTAAGGTAACTTTTTTTTTGCAATCAAGCCTAAGTCATGATACAATCATGAGTAAGGTTCAAGAAATAGAAAGTGACATATGTTATAATTCACATTAAAAACCCAACAATTGTGTACAGAATGAAATAACAGCAGTAAACATTCGTGTGCGAGCGAACAGTCTCGCGCGATCACGAGGCTCCAAGAATAAATCAAGGATTCCAATCGTCGCACTGACATTGTAACAACACGCTTTACGAGTGCCGCTGTGTTCAGCTCGAGGTTATACATAATACAACGTACGCGCGAAGCTGAGAGATGAATGCACTGTTTGAAGAAGTGACGTTTACGCGACGACGTCAGCTGGCTGCGACTAAACGCGCGGTCAGCAGCTCCGAATTACACGAAAAATTGCTACTTGCTGATGACGAGATACCGTTCTGTCAAACAACGTGAAGTGAGTTATGTTCCTGTTAGTACCGCGCGACCCACCTTCCAATCTGACGATTATGAAAGATCGGTGGAAGGTTGCCCGCACCTCGCGCGACTACTTCTCGCGAGTGACACTCGAGAAACGACGCATAATAACATCTTATGAAATCATACGTCAAAACGAATAAACATGGACCTCATGAATTCCGCAGTTGTTTATTGGTCGCACTGCTCACGATGGCGATGATGGCTGCACTGGAAACTGGGAACAGAGAGGCTCTTTGTTCTTCTTAGCTGAACTTCTTGCACTGTTCATCTTTCCTCTTTTTCTTTCTATATTATAGAGAAAAAGAAGAAAGTGAATGGTGCATAAAGTTCAGCTAAAAAGAATAGACCTGCTGCCCAAATAGGGCGTTTAATAATCCCGATGGGCATCTTCTGCTTGTTGAGGTTAGGATTTTTATTGATAGCTCCAGACTCTTGTGAATAATGGTGAATCATGACTTTGTGGAATTGGTTACCAAAGGATAACATAAGTATTATGTATAAAGTGAATCATCTATCTAGTTCATTTGAAGCTGAGGCGATTTTCAAGGCTATTGATATTATATTGATTAATAATATTAAGTTTGCAAATATTTGTACAGACTCTAAGTTGTCTGAAAACAATTTCTTTCGAATATTCGAAGAATTATAAATTGAATCCTTTGATTCAGGATATTATTTATAACATTTACTGTATTCAAAGTAATTATCAGGAAATAAATATTAGATTGTCATGATGCCTGTCCATTGTGGACATTTGATAATGAAAAGGCTGATGAGATGCTAAATCGGCAGCTAAGACGGTAATGATATGTTACTTAAAAATAAAATGGATAAGCGTTGTCTGGCTGTACGTTTCCAGACATATAGAGACTTAGATAAAAAATTTTTTACTTAACTCAAACACAGAAAGATATTTTATGGAGTTAGATACTGAAATACATTTAACGTCGTTTGGTAAATTGAAAATTTACAGAAACAATTTTGGTAAGGCAACTAGATTATACGAAATATTCTTTTACTAATTTTTATATAAAAGCTGCAAGGAAAGGCCAGATTGTGAATGCGATTTCAAATTTCAGGATTTGAATCATATTTTTTAAATTTGTTCTCGGGACAGCTTTGAATTTAGAAATGATTTGATTCAATCACTGATTGAGATTAGAATTTTTCCTCCGCTATCAGTGGCTCATGTTGTTTCTTCATTAAAGCTATCAATTTTTTGATTATTTTCATGAATAAATGTGAATTAAATATTTGAAATTTAATTTTATTTACTTTGATACATGGTTTTGCACCTATGATAATGCTCAACGCAGTTGATCTGCAATCCGATTAAAACGACATCTGGAGTCTTTGTCTTTGTAAAAACAAAGATACATTTGAAGATCTCTGGGATTATGTTGGCAATCATTACACTGAGCAGTAATTTTTAGCAGAGTTTCTGTCCCCAAGGAGATTTTTATGCTGGTCCTTTCTATATTATGACCCAATCATAGGATCGGAAATCTGTACAGAGGAACTAGAAGAAGAAGAAGAAAAGAATGAATCAATGAAACAAGATTGTGAAATAATATAGAGAAACATAGTATTATTTTTTTATAGATAAAGATTTTTATATATTTTTAATTTTTTCCCCTTTTTTTCTTCTTAATGACTAACTATATGCTATTGCACATATCTATATCATTGAACACAGAAAGTAAAATGTAAAGCTACAATTAAGGAATAAATTTTACAAGTATGTTTTTCGTAGCGCTAAACTTTTTACTTTCCTTTTTTTCTTTTATCATATACATATCTATACAATTTTTTATGTAAAAAGTAAAAACATCTTCATTTTGAAATATCAAAAGTGGAATAAAATAGCCATCTCACTCTAACTTATTGCATCAGTACTCATCCGAACAGGTAGAAAAAGAACAAACCTACGAACAATTATAGGAATGAAGATAATTTTTTGATATTTTAAAATGAAGAAATAACGAGAAAAGCACTAAGCACTAAGGATTTTTAAAATCTAATTAAAAGATTTTACAATTCATGAATTTGCATTTCCTCTCTTAAAATAGAAATTTTATATGATACCTTGGGATGTAACATGTGCAATTACAGATTTATAGTAAACTAAATATATTAACGATGGAAGTGTATGGCATCGACGAGGAAGACGAAGATGTTGTGATACAAGTATGATAAATCCATTCCTTAAACTTCTTAAATTCAATGTGCTTTGAAAAACATATTTGCTATCCTACAAAGGAGGTTATATTTACGTTTATTTTTTTGCCACTTTTCACAAAGCTAAAAATATTGGAAAAGAATAGTGGCTCTTTCAATTAAACATTTATATAATTTTCATTTTAGAAATACATTATCGATTTAATAAATCACAGAGATAATCATAGGTTAAGAATGATGAGAAGAACACTAAAAGTTTAGAATAATAAGTTACAAATAATGTATAATAATTAAGAATAATTACTCTAAAAAATTTAATATCTTCATCTGTGTTATAGGGTAATGCTCTTTATGAGCATCTTTTAAAATTAGGTTACACAGACTTTGAAACTGTGTCTATATCTAAGAGAACGGACTTCAAACGAGAGAATTATTTAAATATTGTAATGAATTTTTATATTATATATAAAACATATATACAAGAAATTAATAAATTGTATATGACATTTTTATGTATATAATATTTCTGATTTTTCAGGATATTAAGAATATTGTGAAAAAGATTTATACAAAATTATTTTCTCTTTATTCTTGGATAACACAGGTATTTTGTTTTGAAAAAATTATATAATGATGTTATATATATTTAATTGTTTTCTAAATGTATTTAATTTATTTTGGATACTATTTGTAGGAGAAGAGCAATTCTGAAAAACAATTGAGAGTTATTTTGAATGCAGAAGCTTTGTTAAACGACCATTTTTTTGTGATTAATAGCTTTATAACCAAGTGCAATAATAATTCTAAAAGGTAATTATAGAATAAGTTTAATAATTTTTTCAGTTATAATTATAATTTTTTAATTATTATAGAAATTGTCGAAAAAGATAATTAGTAAATAATTTTTATGCTAATGTTTATGTAATATTTCTTTTATAGAATTCGCTAAATATATGACTGATTAAAATTGATGTTTTTCATTTAATAAAAAATGAAATTATTCATTTTACAGAATAACACTACAAGAATTAATTATGGCTGGAGCTGTATTAGTCTCTTCAACATATATTTCATGGTGTAAATACAAGATATTACCAACATTATTTGCATCATTTGCAATTTGTTGCATCAGTTATATGAAATATTTACGTTTTTATGCAAAAAGAAATTTAGAACATGTGATATTATCACAAAATGAACTTTTTCTCATATGTAAAGATGGCCTTAAGATTTTACGACGTGATTATAAAATGAAATTGAATTCTGAATCATGTTTTCAACAATTTTCGTAAGTGTACAAAATCTATATGAATTTAAAAATATTAATATTTCGTATGTGTACATACACAAAGATTTAGATATAAACATTATTGTTATCCTACTTCTGTTTGTTTGTATTAGTCATTTCTTAGGTGAAAAGGTGCAACATTTAGAATCTCTAAAAGATGCTTTAATAAAATTTATGGAAAATATTTCCTATCTATATTACAAATATTCATTGTCAATTGCAAAACTACTGCCGCAAGATGCACTTAGCGAAGAGCTATTTACAAAATTCGAGTGTAACTTATTTGAAACATCTGGTGAAATCAATTATCAAACATTAAAGGTAAATAAATCATGAAAGTTTAATATATATATTTTATGATAACTTTTTTTAAATATATTTTTTTATAGAGATTGTATAACATTTATCTTCTGGTACAATCAGAAATGTTATGTTTATTAGCTATTGCATATGATAGCAATACTTGGATAAAGTCCTGCCAAAAAATTCCTGAAACAGAATTAGCTCGTATAATTCATATTTTAGCTAAAGAATTGGCAGTATATAGAGTTAAATTGTCAGAAATTATTAATGCGTATCGTACTTGCAAAACAAAACCTGTTCGATATAAGTAAGTTGAAAGATATATTTATTACAGTTGTATTTATGTTTATTACAATAGTAACATATTACAAGAGATTTTTTTGTTAGGACGCAGAACAAAGCTAAGTGGCACGATCCAACTATCCAATTGGATTTGGCATCCTATAAATTGCAATTAGCTTACAATCAAGTTTTTTCAATATTTAAAGATATTGATGATTGCATTAATCAAGATATTGGTATCGATAATGAAACAGCTGATATACTGATGCAAAAGTTAGATAAAGCTTTCAAGGAGATTGACACGGCTAAGAACCTAGCAGAATTTGTCATTTTGTTGATGGCAAGATCAGGAATCAGTGATCTGAGGAGCAATCAACCTGTAATCGATAATACAACGATCAATCAGAACCCCGATTTGCCAGTAATAATCGATTCAGATCCACAAATACTTGACGAAGTATTTGAAGAGTATATCAAAGAGGAATATTTAAAATCATTAGATGAAGATACAGATGAATACTCATTAGAGCAACAAAAGTTGGATAAACTTTTAGCGAAAAATTTTATGAGCGAGTTGAAAGAAGCTTTAGTTGATAAACATAAATCTATGTCTGAACGAGAGTCCAGGGCATTACAACGTATATATAAAAATAAATCAAGAAATCCTGTATCGAGTACTGAGGATAACAAGGATTATCAGATTGCACCTGCTCCACCTCCAATGCCTCCTAACTACATATGGTCATCATCATCATCATCAAGCGACAATAATTTAGATCGCAGAAGAATGATTTCTCCTATTTATAAAATCAAAAATGATAATTCGTCTGTCCATAGAAAAACCAGTAAGTCAGATAAAAACGAACTTGTAAGAGAGCTGGAACAAAATAACATTTTTAATAAATCATCCATCGAAGTCTGTGAGAATAGAGACGAAGAATCGGTTACATCTATG